ACTAACAAACATCCCACTTAATCTAAGTCAATCTCATTCTGAAAAATTCTTTGAAACTATCAGCAAATTGGCATTCAACAAAACTTCAAAAATTGTGCTTAAATGAATTTATGATATTATTTCATAGATCTTTTTTCCATATCCATTATATTTTAAATAATTTTTCATTACATTCCTAATATTTTGGTTCTTGACGCTAATTCTTATTTTCTATCTTATTGAGATCAACATCTCTATGTAGGGCTCTCTCAATTTTAAAGTATTTAATCTTGTCTTAATATTTCCTAATTTTAGATCATTTCACAAATTTATCCCTAAAAACAAGGCATTAAAATCTTGGATATTCATAGAGTTCCCTTTTATTCTTGTATTAGCCATATGTATGATAGTTTATGATCTGATATAAGGTTACCACATTTTCTATCATTTTTTTCTTAAATTTTACACTATTTATTTTTACTTTTGGTTGTAATAAGATCCAATAAGGTCTATACCATGCCAAACTAAGCAATAAACTCTTTAATCCAACCAAACCATAAGGTATATGGTGGAATAAGTAATTTACAAACAAATATTTGGAATTCATAGATCAATTTTATCTATAATTATCTTAAAGTGAGAAATAGTAAACTTAAAAATGATTCAATTCTTCATTTCTTTTAGATATGTTAAATCATACATAAATAATTTTGGAAATGCCATCATTAAGGTTATAAAATTAAAATTATCTCTAAAATTTATGTGTTTTTAAGTATAGACTACTTTCATAATATACCTGAGCTTATATTTTAATAATGCAGTAAACATCTAAATACCTAATTAGGTAACTTGGAAGAAATTTTCAAATGTAAAAGGATTCCATGCATATCTAAATAGTTGATTGTTAGTGAGTACAAAATTAATAATCTAAAGTGTCTAATCCTATTTCCAAAATACATTGATTATGAGAGTTTAAAAATATATTTTTTTTCACTAAGCTCTTATGTGATTCATTGTAAATCATAAATTAATAAAAGAACTTTTCTAAGAATTTATTATGTATTCCAAACATTATCTTAAAGCCGATCCTACGATAAAAGAATTAATTAAATCATTTACTTTGCCTACTTTTAACGTGAATCATCTATCCAATCATTCATTATGCCTTCTGATATTAAAATACAATAATCTTCATCACATATATGTTTGAAAAAAGTTTGATTATTCTTATTACACCTTCAATATTTCATTTCTATTAGTAATTTTAATATTTTGAATTCTTAATTCTAAATTGTTTAATAAATTTTGATTAATAATTTTAATAGAATTATAAATGTCAATTAAATAAGTGGTATATAGTAAATTAGAATGTTAAATTAAAGTAATTGAATAATATTTTAGATATATTTGTTTGTTTATTATTAGTTTTAGTCATCATCTGATAAGATCAATAATTTGATTGATTAAATATTCATCTCAAATTAAAAATAATAATAATTTCATTAAGAACATTAATAAGATAATTCTATTCAATAATTAGTATATTGTAGTGCTTTTGCTTTTAATAAGGATGTATTTCTTTTAAACTCAATTAAATATTGAGTTATCCAAAATTTACAAACCACAATTAACTAATGTTGATTTCAAAAGAAATTCATTCTCAGATTATTTAAACAGTATAATAAATTATTTTTACAATTAAAAAATGACTAATTTAAATTTCATAAGTTGCAATTTTAAGTAATTTATCTGTGCAAAATATTGAATACTTATGATTTTTGCAAATATAAATATCAATACATGAGAAATATTCCTAATTACGTATTTCAAATATTGATAGATATTATACATCCTTTAATATGTTTTGGTTGGCTTCTTTTTAATCTTACAGACCCTTATTTATGCTGGTTAAATGTAAATAAGATATATAAAATGTCCTCAATCTAGATTAATTGATTATTCAATTTAACTTATTAATAATAACTATTATCAATCTTAAATTCAATTCGGAGAAAATCAGATAAATTAAAAATGTATATAGTTAAAATAATCTTATTTATGTAATTCATAGCCATACATTTTTCTTTTTATATTAAGAGTTATTGAATGATGAAAATTTTTTTGATCTGTTATTATTCTTAATAATTAAACTAAATATTAATGACTTTAAATTAAATAATTCTACTAAATTAATAAACAAATAGAGACGATTCTTAAATTTAAATTATACAATTAGATTAATAGTAAGGGAACTATTATTAATTTCTAGCATAAATCATATAATAATAAAATTAAGTTAAATACTGAAAGCAATAGTTAAATTATATTTTAATGACTGAATTTGAAATCTTTTATTAAATCCTAAAGTTGAAATCACAATCTAAGCATTTTACAAGGACAAACTATTCGCCTTTTATGAAAATGTTAGAGATAAACAAAGGTATTGGTCAGTATAATGGATTTAAGTATCATAATCCCATAAAGAACACTTCTTAACTATTCTTATTTACTGTATTTCTGATTCCCATTCATCTAACATTTCAGAGTCTACTATTCCAATTAATTACTCTACAGTTGCGCTCAAATTCTTAAACTAAGCGTAACACTTCTTATGAATAACTTTCTTCATAATCAATTTTTATTCATTATTCTTGTAAACATTTTTCATCTATTCTTTTCCAAGATTAAATTAAAAATTTTTTTAATTAATTTCTCATTTTCAGATTTAAATTTAGACCAAAAATTTAAGGCTATTCCCTTTAATTTGAACTTTCTAAAAATAAAATAGCCTTAATCAATCCAGAAGAACAAAAAATATCATTACCTCTAGGCAGAGATCTTTCAATTATCAACATCTGTGTTCTTATTCATTCGAGTTATCTTAAAAAATAGCTTACTTCTCCTTCTTTTCCTTTAAAGTCTTTCACATTTTTAAAGATATAGCGAGGCTCTAAATTTACTTGATTTATTCCTCATAAGTTCTTAGATTCTTATTATTAAACCTAATATCTTTCCCATAATATTCAATTTCATTATATTAAGCATTCATTCCTATCTCATGAGTTTCTCTTGAAAAGTTCTCTCTCTACAGATTTACTAAAATTATCATCTCGGAAGATGAATATATCTCTTTGCTGCAAAATAAATAGGAAAAAATACCTATTTCATACGAATAAATCATCCTGCCAGAAACTTATATTTCCCCAAATACCTTTTCACCTAAATAGTTTTGCTGATTCAAAACTTCTGAAAATTCAAAATTTTTCAGATCAAATCTGAAATTAATTTATGATTTTTTCTGTTTTGGATTATTAAATTTTGCTTTTTAGGATGTTTACATTTAATTTTGTTCTATCCTTGAAGAAGAATTCAATTTTTAAGCAATGAATCTGGTTTACAGATAAGCAGTTCTCATAATTAAAGAACCATTCAATTAGCTCATTATATTAAGTTAACCATGATCTTTACCTTCTAGATTGGAGACTATTAAGGAACTTTGGATTAAATTACTTTTTCATTAAAAATCAATTTAAAGGTTGGCTTACAAAAGCAGTAATTTAGTTTTGGATAAAATACAATTATAAAATATTATTAAGTTAAATATTATAGATTATTTTTTAATTACAAAAAGTAGAATTATATTTTATACCCTCACATAAAATGTTTTCATTACAGTATCATCTGAATACTAGTGCTTTGGTCTAATCTTTTATCACTGTATTTCATTCCTTGGATGATCCAAATGGGGCTCTTAACGTTCATCTATGTTAGAATTGATTATGGTTATTCATAATCCAAAAAGTCAACAAAATTGGAAATCTTTCCCTAAGATTTTTGTCCCAGCCTGGCCTGGAGATATTGATATCTTCTAATCATCTCTAAAGCCGGCTCTTTCCTCCTATTTTTCCTGAAAATCCTGTATATCAATATCATCGCTCGCCTTTTGCTCTTTAAGAACATAACAAAGAGTAGGAGTAGGAGAAAACAGATTCTAGAATGACTCCAATTATGACATCATCAAGAAAATAAGTTAATTTTTTTAAATATTATAAATTATATTTGAATTATAAAAGTATGCTTATAATTGATTATTAAACTTACAATTATAAATGATTTTTCTTGATATATAAGAATAAATTTTAAAATAATTAAGGAAAATTTCCTTTAAATTATTTAAGATTTAATAATAGAAATAATGCATATAGTTAAATAAATCTATTTGTAATTAAAATTTATATTGTCGCTAAGTTAGAATTATTACACCTTTCTTTTTATAAATTCTTCTTAAGACAAATGCAAGATACCATCAGATTTTTAGACTTTATCATTTGAAATTAGACAAAAAGAAAACTTTTATTTTTCATATGGTGTCAATTTAATTAATCGTCCTTGAAATAAATGAGAAAATAAAGATAATGTATGAAAAATATATCAAAATCTAAACGGTTAAAAATTAATTCTACTAGTTAACTTTTAAATTTTCTTCAAGATTTTTCCTAAAACCACTTTCTTCATTTTTAATTTTCTTTACAATTTTGATATTCTCTATTATAATTGGTGATATCTTATTTAAAGTCTTTAGCAAATGGATCAATTTCTCTTTAAAACTTTAAGTCGTCTTAGAAAACCGTCCTCCTAGTTTCAAAACACATTTTTCTCCCTTTTTAATGATAATCATTTTCATCTAATTGAATAATCTAAATTCTATTTTTCCATTCTTGGTTTTTTATTATTAGGAGTTTGTTAAAAACACCCATAATTAATTCTGGTATTTTAATAAATTAAGGAATATTGTGATATATTTTGGAATAAATTGAGAAGATTACCTGTCATTTTTTGTAAAGATTTTATTGATCTTTTTAAAAGTTAATATTCAATATTTAAATATAACTCTTTTTCAAATCATTATAGCTCTATGTAAAATAACAATATGCTAAAAAGCATGCATTTTGATTTATAAATTTTTTAAATAAAAATAATAGTTTGGATTTTTTGGGTCTTATCTATTTTTTTTCAATCACAATCAATCTATTAATACAATACTTCCAAGAAAGTATATTTTTAAACCTTTTGTCAAGTATTTTGTCACTTTCTGAGTTGTTGTAAATATCTAAATATTCCGATGCTTCTTTCAATCTAATGATTTATTGTATTTCTTCACCTGATATTATGATCACAAATAATTTTTTTACTTAAGAAGATGAAATTTATAAGTTTTTAAATTACTGCTTCAGCAAATCAATACATTAATTATAATTTCTTGTAACCTGTACATAAACCATAGTATATCCTAAAGCAATATCCATTTTATGAGAATCTTTACTATTGTAAAATTATACAATTTTTAGACTACTCTAAATAGATAAATTACAATTTTTCATTGCTTTCAAATCTATTAATTTAATTCATTTATTTATGAAAAAATTTCAAATTAATCATTATGATAAAAGAATTTTATTCTAGATTATAGTACTAAATAGGATTTCCAAGATTATTCAAAAAAACGCTATCATAATATTCTATTGTTTAGTCAAATTTATTTATTTTCTTAATAGTTTTTAAACTCACTTTTAGTTACATAATATATTTAATTAATAAAAATGGCTTTTACATTTATGCCATTTCCATAGTAAAAGTCTAGATTTTTTGGGTTTCCTTGGATTGCATAATCAAAGAATTCTAGTTTTTCTTCTAACTTTGAAATTTTCACTATTTATCATTGTTCCCAAATAACATTTTTATTAGAAGAGAGTAAATTATACCTTTGCAAAAAGTAATAGTCTGCATTTTTGTGATACATTATTATTTTACTTTTAAAAACCTATTCATATTAATATCGTTATAAAATGTTTTGCTTCGAAATTAAAATTATTATTTATTCTTTTTTTAGAATTATACTCTGGATTTTCAAAATATCTGAATACAAATATTTTAATACTTCTTAAGATTTATGCCTGATGGTACCTGAAATAAAGCATCTGTGAAAAAACTACCCTTTTTGTTTTTAATCTGTTATTTAACTTTTGTAAAATCGATGAGTCATATTCTTCCATCTTTTTTTAAATCTCTATTCATTTTAATCATTTAGAAAATTAAATTATTTCATATAAATTATGAATTTATCATTTGATTGCTAATATAAATATCTACTTTTTAATTATAACCATTAATCAAGGAAGTTTTAGTATTTTTTGAATTCTAAATATATTATATGCTCATTTTAAGAGAAATAAAATTAATGAATCAGAAAATAAACGTATTAAATATATTATAAAATTACAGATTCGAGAATGTGATGCTAATTCTAAATAGAAATATGATTTAATATTCAAAGTTTATAAATAATATGAATTAGTAATTTAGATTTACTGAATAAATATTAAAATACCTGCTTATTATCAAAAAATTAATTAATCTACGAGCTTGCAACTTCAATGGACAAAATATCAAATAATTGCCTGAATAATCAACAAGTAAAAATGGTTCATAATTGAGTATAAATGGTTATAAAAAGCTTTTATATTTTGGATTAACCGCTCTCAACCTGAATAATTTATGGTTTTATTATGTATAAATTTTCTATTGATATTCTGGATTATTTTGAATTACTACTTAATATTAAATATTTTATGGAAATTTTTTTTGGAAAATTAAGATATTAATATTAATTATTTTTGTGGAGATAATTAAAAGAGTTTTCAAGAAGAAATTATAAGCATATCATTTATTAAGAGTTAATATTTTGAGTGAAAAAATTTATTTCAAGTTTAGATTAACTCATTTAAAAATATTCAATTGAGAATGGAGATAGAAACAAAAAAATTTTATATTACAAGAAGAGACTGAAATAGATAAAATAGGTTATACAAACTTAGAGGAAATAATAACAACCAGAAGAATGAATTAGAAAAGAAAAATAATAGATGAAAAAATTATTGGCAAATAAAATTTTATGAGCTATTAATACAAGAAGATAGGTATTTCAAAATAAAATAATACATCTATTCCAAGAAAAATAGTATAAATGATAGATAAATTAGCAATTTAATTTTTTTTATTTGTTTTTAAAAAACCTGAATGTTGATTTACAATAGATTGTTAAAGTTAATTTTCTAAATATCTAATAGTTGCATCACTAAAAGTTCAATAATTAAGTTTATTTGAGATTTTCAACTCTTTTGCTGTATATTTAAAAACCAAAGAAAGGAACAGATAATAAATACTAGAGGAAAATCTGATATGTAGTTTAGTTTATTAATAAAAAGTGTTTCCAGCTTAAGACAACAACAGGATTGCGGTTAGTCTTAACATCGAGGCATTTTTTGATTATTATAAATACTTTATGCTTTTATTAATTTAAGATGAAAAAAATATTGAGAATTAATTTACTTATTGTTCAAAATTTTTCAATAATCTCTGATCATTTAATAAAAGGAAGTAGTTTTAATTTAATAATTCCAAAGATGAATTAAGTTAAATAGAGTTATTAATTAAAAAAAGAATATGCTTTACTATCAACTTGGAAAAGATGGATCAAGATATTTTCAATTATGTCCTCATTTACATTTTTTAGAAAGGGAATTTTATCTTTTTAAACAATATTCTGTTTTACTTATAGTAGGATTATTGTAATAATAGTAATATCATTTTAAATACTATTAATAGAGTTTGTTTATCATTTCATTTTGGCACAAGAATAAGATTTTGAGAAAATAAAATTATTGATATATATTATGAAAAATAATTTGTCTAAAACTTCCAATAAAATGAGATCAATTCTTATTTTACTTATTAAATAGCTTAAAAAATCTCTTTTTATATTAAATTCAAAGCAATTGCTGATCCCAAAGTTTCTTATATTCCATAGCTAATAAATATTATATCATTATTCAATATTCCAATCATTAAGAATATCATTATGAAATATATAATAAAATAAACTGTTTTCAGAAAAAAGTTATGATCATTAAACAAGTTTTATAGTTACTAGGTCCAATTCCCAGTTTTATTATAATAAATACAATTGTCTGGGAATTTAATAGAAATTCTAAGTTCAGATAAAAATTATCTTTTAATTGACAATTGCCTCCTTCCACGTGTGTATTATATATTCTCAATGGACCTAATCTTTTTTTTAAGGAAATAACCTTTAAATAACATCTAGTTTATTTGTCAATATTCAAAACTAACTTCTATATCATATTTCTAAAGGAATCTGTTTGATACAAACTAATCTTTGTATTTATGACTTATTGGGCTCCTAAAGGGCAATGTTTTTACAATATATTTTCTGATTACAAGTAAAATTAATGATGTCAATTTTTCTTGATAAGGTCTCTCAATGATAAACTTTGATCTGTAAGAGATTATTCAACAATCTCATAAAACTTAAGCAAGCTACAATAATAATATAGAAACAAATGTTAATACTCTTGATCACTGTTTATCCACTAAGGATCACATGTATATGATAGTTTTCAATATTCGCTACTTAATTCTTGTTAGCTGGATTTATATTTGAGAGTTTATTATAATTTGCTAGTTGATATGCTTATTACTTATTAATAACTGAAGGGTTTTGAAAAAGAATTGCAATAGAGTCATTCTAAAATAATTTAAAAATTATATAATGCGCTTTAGAAATTTTAGTAGGTCCACTTAACTATTGTTTAATTATTAAGGATTTCATGTAAAGGTGAGGAGCAAAAAGAAAAATATTAAAATTAGAATGATAAATATATTGAACATAAAAATACTTATTAATAATATTCATAGATATTCTTGCGTTTCAATTAGGATGAAGTTAAATATAGGTATAATATTATATTCTAGAAATGATTTCAAATCGACATGTAATGTTTAAAATCTACTTGACAAATCAAAAATTAATACAATTTATTGATAATTTTTACAACTAAAAAAAGGAATTTTGAGTTCTTCTAAAAAAATAATTATTGATTTCGAATTCATAAGGAGATCTTTTAATATTAAAAGAGTAAAATCAAATATAATACAATTAAAATTTAGATATTAAGAAAGAATATTTTGGTTACGCAATACTTCTATTATTCATACTCTATCCCAAATTCGTTGACTTAAAACTTTGAATCTGATTACATGATTGTTATTCTGTTTTTGAATTACAAGAATAGTTACCAATTCTTGCTTACTATAAAGAAAAATTAACTTTGGAACTTGATTGAAAATCTCCGAGCTTATCTAAAGGTAATTAAGTTTGGTTAGAGTTTAAAAACTTAAGAATTTATCTATTAATGAATCAGGAATTATATGGATTCTGATTTTTTAATATTTGAAAAGTATTAAAAAGCATTACCAATAAATTTTAATAGAAAATCAAAATCAGAATTTCATTTGCTCTAATAAAAAATGAAGAATAATCTATAATAATATTTATATTTGATGAAAAGAATTTAATTAAGAATTCCAAAAGTCAAAATATCAATACACCAAGAAATCAACATAAATTTGGTAATGATTATTAATATATTATTATACAAATATAAGAATTCATTCTCTTGTTTGGAAAAGGGGTAGTTTGCTCTATAAAAAATGCTTATATATGGAATATATATAAACTTATGAATGGTGACTAAAAATATGGAATTAACCTTAAAAGCTTTTATAGCGTATTACATAGAAATCTATGATGTTATAGAAGTCCAGGAACACTAAGACATATAAAGACGAAGAGAAATTCAATAAGTCAATTTTGATAATTTGTTCACTATGAATGAGATTCAGAATAAAATAATGATTAAGAGAATTACCATTAGCATTTATATATTAGATATTAAATGATAGATTAAAATGTCATGTTTTAATGATATAAGATACTTGTATTATGATTTAAATAAGAAGTGAAAACGTTAATAATTAGAACACTTAAGGTAGACAAATATTTAGGATATTCACAATCATTTAGAAAATAATAATGATAATTTCCATTTAACTAATAAAAATTAGTTTTATTGAAGGTTAACATATTATAAGTATTACAGGAGTATTACTACCTGTAAATTACTTTGATATATTGCAGAAAATGATTGATTTACTAAACAGACCCAAATAACGTTTTGCTTATTTTTTCAAAAAGAGAAAATTGAGAGAAGTATCCTTTAATTTAAACTATTAAAAATACTCAATATAAAACTGAAATAATCTTCATTTATTCTATTATTTAATTAAATGTAATAACCAAAAATTATAGAAAATGAAAAAGATTTTTGTTGCTCTAAAGGACATAAGCTACCAGTCGTTACAATAGCACTAGATGAAAAATTATCAAGGAATTAAAGACTCTTATGCACAGAATGTTTAGAAAATATAGACATAGAGGGCAAAGCGGTTGGATTAAAGAAAATGATTTAATTAATTGAAGAAAATTAAGTAAAGAAGATGGAAAACGTGGAAAATATAAAAACGAATTAAATAAAATTAATTGAATCATTACATAGTATTGTTGATCAAATGAAATCACTTGTAATGTAATAATTAAATTAAGTGATAACCATAACCACCGAACGAATTCAGAATCTATAATAACAGTGATCATAATGTACTCTATATAGTTTTTTTTGAGGAATTAGAATTTATAATTTTGAAGTCAAATTAAACTGATTCCAATATATATATCCAAGAGATTTGGAAAACCAATCTCTGTTGGACTTCAAAATTCAATCCTAAATTAGAATAATTTAATTAATTTGATGCATACAACTAATGTCAGCAACTGTTGTTGACTGTAGAATTAGGTTCTCATAAATCTACACAAAATGATTAATAATAATAAATCAATATAGAAAATATTAATTAAGAAATATAATCAGTAAATACTAAAACGAACATTCCACCATCATAAACTAATTAATCTAGTAATCAATTGAATGTCAAGCCTTTCAATTATTTACCAATTCAAGAGGTAACTACTTTAAACTTCATGCAGAAATCTAAATAGTTTATATCAGGAAGTTTGGATAAATCTATAATAATATGGAAATAGAATTAAAATAAATAATGGAGTTATTAATAAAAATTAAATAGACATAAAGGTTTTATCTAATGTTTAATAATAAATACTAATGAAGATTTAATAGTATCTGGAAGTTAAGATTGTACTCTTAAATTTTGGATAAATAAGAATGAATGGTTGTGTTAATAAACTATAAATGATCATTCTAAAGAAGTATATGGATTAAGTTTGAATTAATAATAAAATAGAGTTGTATCATGTGGATATGATTAATATATATTAATAATAGAATAATCAGAATAGAATAAAGAATGGAAAGTAATATAAAATATTACAATTGATAATTACGGATTTCGAGTATGCTTTATTGATAATAATATGTTCACATCTACGCCAATAAGTAAAGAATAAATATCTGTTTATGAGTGAATAATAACAATAAATATTTTACCATAACTAGAGATATTTCGATAAAAAGTGGATCAGACATGTATGCAAGCTTTCCTTAACAATATATAAATTAAATAAGTATTCTTGTAAGTAAGAATGGAGAATATGTTAATTTGATTAGGAAAAAATAAAATGAAGAAATTTTAACTGAATAATATATTGATTTTGGAATTGATTCTTTACATGGAACAATGAGTAATGACGGAGAGTATTTGATCACATGGGATTATCAATCAAAGTAAATACAAATTAGAAGATATTAAGAATTATGAGGAATATAAAAAATTATATCCATATATATATTTTATAAATGATCAATTTTATTTAAAAAAACGCCAAGTTTCAAGAATTATCTTTTAATATATTTATTAGAATGAATTGAATTAAAACAATAGTGATTTTTTTGAAAACAGTATATTAAATAGAAATAACAATTATGAAGCAAAATCAATATAAAGTAATATATTTGACTTTTATGATCTGGTTAATTACTTTAGAAATGTAGATTATAATTTAAATTTATAATAATAATCGAATTGTTTTAAATCCGAATATACTAACTTATATTAACTTCATAAAACGTTCCTCTTTAGTTGATTGCATAATAATTTTTATGCCTAATCTAATAAGCGAATTATTCATTTTTTAAGATTTTAATATCTAATGTTTATTTTTTTATCTACTGATTGAAGATCGTCTCCTGAAATTATAAGGATTCAAAATAAATCTAAGAAAAATCAAATATTTGTGATTTTAATAAATCTTAGCTCTTTAGTTTTAATAATTGGTCTTTTTATGACTGATCATCATTAATTAAATGGACTCTCCTTGTATGATACAGTTATTCATAGGATCATTCTTATAAAAGTACTATGTAATTAT